CTATGATGCTGCTTGGCCTGCTGTGTTCATCCAGCCTTACGCCTTGTTGTCTCAGATTCTCCAGCATCTGCAGTTCCTACTGTCTATGATTGGATCACTTCTGTTTTGCACAGAATAATGAATGGCCCTGGAAAGTGCAGTCTCCCTCAAGATACCCTGCAAAGATAAGGTATCTTAAAAGTTTCAGCAACAGGTGAAGCTGTTTCTTGCTCCCACCAGGCAGTAATAACATGAGTAATGTTAGCATTAACGAATGCTACTGTCAAGCCAATAAAATAAGGAATTCTGCCCAATACACAAATGTGTATTTTCAGTGCTGGTGTGATCCCAGATAAGTGTGTCATGTATTCTAAAGACAGGCATATCATATCAAATAGCAAATCACTTTTGCTGTTGGGGGCAATACAAGGTGTTGGCCGTACCTAAACCAGCTCCTTCATGGAAACTCTCAACATTGTCCAACAGTAAATGTCATTCTGCAATTGGACATCATTTGTTCCATAATCCTGAGTATGTGAGGCATGATGCGGAAAATAACTGTAGGACCATCAGTTGGACTTGCAGTATGGTCTGCTTAAATATACTGGAGACTTCATACACTAATCCGCAGGACCTGTTGTTGGCAATCTGAAAAAATGATGTAAATCTGCACTGCACCTGTTCCAATGCATGGGAGTAGGTGATAGCCATTTTCTGGTTCATTTCATGGGGGCTGTCTCTCAACAAATCAGAATCTACTTGCCAACAGCAAAAATGATTTGTTTCCTATTGGGTTTTTTTTGACAACATGACTTTTGGGTCAGTAGGCAAACTGCTTTGCTGGCATTGTCAAACATGCATGTTATGATGCTGTCTGTGCCAATACTGCTTCTACATCTTCTCTTGTGCCGTAATCTCCCACATAGCTAGTTTGCAAATGCATGAAGTGGCAGGTCTCAAGGTATGCTGATGTGTTGGAAGGCAAGCTGCATATTACAAAATAAATGGGGAAAACAGCTTTCAGGCTCAGCTTTCCACAATTTGAACTGCAACATAATTGAGCAGTAATTTTGTTGAGATGACATTGCTTTGCGTTAAGAAAGTATTGGTTGCTTACTGGGCATTACAGTGTTAAGTATGTAATACTTCAGAATAATACAATTCTATTTTCTTCTACTTGTGGCCAAAAAGGAAAGACAGTTGCCGTTTGTCTGTGTTTTATAGGTCCGCAGAGAGATGCGCAAGCTGCCCGAGAATTCATTTTGAAGATGTTTGTTGACCTGAATCCAGATAGTGACAAAATCATCTACTCTCACTTCACATGTGCCACAGACACAGAGAACATCCGTTTTGTCTTTGCAGCTGTTAAAGATACAATTCTGCAGCTGAACCTGAAGGAGTACAATTTGGTCTGATCAGACCAATGAAAAGGAGAAAAGAAAATTTAAACCATAATGACCGCAATTGTTATGATCTGTGAAGTTTGCAAACTGCTAATTGTCATCCTGGATTCTTGTCTGTGTGTGTCCACAGAGTTGTAGCTTCTTTTAAAACAAAAAATGGTTTTATTCAATGCAGGGTTGGGGAGGGGCAGGGAGACACCTTTTTAATGTGCATCTTTTTGGGTGCCAATCTACATTTCCATGTTTTCAAATGTCACTTAATAACTAGCTGTATAACAGATAGTTGGCTTGAGCTACAATCTCTTTAATGCTTGTTCAAATGAAGAATAGCAGGTGTTATTCCACTTGCAAAATCAAAATGCAATGCCATCCCCTCTTTCTGCTCTTTGTTTTGCTGGCCTTCTGCTGTCTGATCACAGATATGCTCTGTGATGCACAGTGGTGATGTTTCAGGGCTCTGTCTGACCGAAACCAAGCCATCACTTGCATAATTGATGTACTGTTTCTGGTTTATTTGTTTTTTTTTCTGATCAATGAGAACGTATTGATACTGTGATTTATTTTTTGATTTTTTTTAAAAAGTAAATTATTGATGTTATACATATAGTTTGCTACTTGCTGTATTTCAGCCATGGACTACAAAGATGGGAGCTCACTAAGCAATAGCAGGTTGAGCAAATATCATGGGAAATGGGAGGGGGGTGGAATTTGCTTAAGTACTTAGAAACCTGAGATGTGGAAATAATGATTACTTGGCAAACAAATGAAGCCAATCTAGTATAAAGAAATAAGTGTATTTATCTAATTTATGGACCAGTATACTTAGGCTTGATTTCAGATTAGAATGTTTCTGTACGAGTTGGTTTACAGATACTTAGCTGTTGCCAAACTTCGATTTTTTTTTTACTGCTGTACACTACAGTGGCAAGTTGTGGAGTCTTTTTTAGGGTGACTTGCTAAACTAAAGTTGACAGTTTATGCTTTTTTTTGTCAGATGAGGGGTTTTAACCTTGAAAGTTTTTAATAGCAAGTTAGTTTTATGTGGTCAGGTACTTTTACAGATTTTTTTTAAAACATAGGTATGATATCAGGCCTGTTTGAAAAGAAGACCTCTGTCTGTGTTTTATAGGAATGCAGGTGCCAAGAAAGTTGCACTACACAGCTCTTAATTTGTGTGATTTCTCTGTACAAAAGTGAAAGGATGGCTTTTATATATGCTGCACAGTGCCATAAATATATTGTACCTTAAATTGAGAAGGTTTGACCTCACCAAACAAATTTCAGGACTACTTTGTAATGTTAAAAGTTGTAGGCAGCCTTTCTGGTAAAATTGCTACATCACACAGTAGTGATTTAAATACTATGGTTGGGCAGAAATGGCATCTAAAAAAGAAGCTGATGCCTGTGGGTTTTCTTTTTTTCTTTTAATGTAGTTGGTCATGCATATTTGTCCTGCATTCAAATCATTATGCTGCCATCTATCCAGTATACTTCATGTATACTCCTTAATGATGCCTTTTATTGTAGCTACTGACTTCACCAGCAGGAGGTGCCCTGTCATTGCTCCAGGTATTTGGCACCAAAAAGGGCTTCATATCCAAAATTATCATAATTGAGTTAGTACTGAATAGTTTTTAATTACACTAAAACAACTGGGATATGTTAAAGAAGACTAGGATGAGGTAGAGCAGCAATTGTTAAAAGATGCAGCATTTTGCTGTTTGACTATAATCTAAAGTGCTTTTTCAAGTATCACAGTTCAAAAATATAACCTTAGTTAATTGATTTGTTTTATTTTGTAATAATGGAATTCCAGATTGATTCAGAACTAAGTTAATCTCAAATTGTAGACATTATTTCAAATGTGGTTGAAATTGTGATTTTTGTCAGCTGTGAATTTGATACAATTAAATGTAATGGTGAGTGAGTTATTTGGTTTCAAAATGTTTGTCATGTCTACATAATAGTTTATTTATATTGAATGGAAGAGCAGACAGGTGCTAAAGGTTTTGATTGGCAGATCTGTGCTAAAACAGGTGGCAGCAAGAACCTGTCATTCCTACCCATAATATTAATTCATCTTTATTAAATATGATTAGTACTTGACTGTCAAATCTAGTAACACAATTATGTTTATATTACTCATTATTTTTGGTGAGTATTATGATTTGCATTCATTATAAATACAGTCACTATAAGTTCAATCCCCTTTTTTGCGAAGGGTATTTTAAAATTAGAAGTACGCCATATCGGAGCAGATGCATATAGAGTATAAATAGGGCATCGTTTAACTTGGCTTTCCTTGTCACATCTTGTAGGCCTACCCTTAGAAAATCTAAGGAATATGAAAATTCCAAAACAACATTGATAGAGCTCTTTGCAAAAATTATTTCCAGAGTTCGTTCTTATGGGAATAGTACCTGCCATAAACATTTGATTTCATTTAAAACACCTTCACTGTCAGGTAAGGCTGATGTTAGAAGGGAATTCTGATTGTTTTTGCTAAGTCTTATTTGTCTCTAGTCCATTACGCTGCTGCTAAAACAGCCAAATATTCTGTACACTACATACCATTGCTAAACACTCCAGTATCCTGCAAAAATATGATATAAAAAACTAAATGCCATTGTTTTACTAAACAAAAATGGATATGTGGCTTTAGGTTTCCTTACTCTTAAGTTTACATGAAAGGCCTTGGAAATTTTGACAGGACTAGACTTTGTGAATACCTAAGTTTGCTCAATTAGAGGAAAATAACCTTTAAAATGAACATGTGGAAATTGTCTGGGGGAGAGAAAAGCCAGTGTCTATCTGTGTTGAATTCTGTGGCAATGAAGTAAAGTAGAGAGTGCCTTACCTAATCATTGATTTTTTTTTTTTGCCAGTAAATATA